ACTTAGCTACCACTTAGTAAAAATTCAGTAATATATTACTAGATTTTTACTGAGTGGTAGCTGAGTGGCAGCTAAGTGGCAGGAATCGGTACCTGAATAGTTGTTGAATGTTAACTGAATTGTTACTGAATTATTACCAATTTATTACTGAATGTTTTAATTTCGACCAGTGTAAAATAGAATCAGGATTGGGTCTTCAAAGAATTTATTCTATATGTTATGGAAATTATGAAAGAACAATTGTTTATCGACTGATGATCTTTATTAAGAGAGAAATATACTATTTATATACTACATTATTGATAACTCATATAAAACTATCAGGCCTTTTTCTCTTATAATACCTATACATTAATAATACTTTTAATACTTATATCCTTGATTAATCTATGAGACTTATAATACATATCGCCCTTATAACTCTTATAGCTTTAGCAACTAATATTACTCTAATAACCCATATAATCCTTATAATCCTGATATAGTGAAACCTCCATAAATGCACGCTCTTGGGACTAAACTTTAGCAACGTGCATTTAGAGAACAATAAGAAAAAGTGTATTTATAGAAGTCATGCATATATTTGGGTCAGAGATTGAGTGTGCATTTAGAGAGGGTGTGCATTTATAGAGGTTTCACTGTAACTCTAATAATACCGAAGCATTAATAAAATAATTGATCAACACATAGACTGCTATGTAAGTATATGAAACTATCTCAGGCAAAATTTAAAATTTCTGAAGGTTAAAATTCCCCAGGCTACATTGCTATTTGTTAGTGATCTTTTAGCAAATATAATGTTATAAATATGATTTTGATATTTTATTCACTATAAAAGTATTGGTTTAAAATATTTGCAAGGTTTAAATTTTCATTTAGAAGTTTAAAAAACAGGGTTGGCATTGGACAATGTCCAAATAAATTTAATTGGACAATTGGATATTTGGATATTTGAACATAGTCCAAATGTCCAAATAATTTTCTGGACCTTCAGGCATTGGACAATGTCAAAATAAATTGTCAATTGTCCAATAATTTTTTTGACAATTTTAATAATATGACAACAAAAGCTTTATTGCTTTTAACTACAATAATAACATTTATCAAATTTATTTTTATTACTTATAAACTTTTTTACTCTTCAATTTACAATGCTAATTTATTAATGAATGTTTCTAATTCAAAGTGTCAACCTTGGCTAATTTATTTTTTTAAAATTAAAAATAAATCAACCGTTGGCATTATTCATTTTGAAATACAAATTATTTTACAGTTTCTAACATTCTGTTTGATTAATCATATTTCACTGGAGCAATACCAAATATATATTTTTAAAACTTGTATGTACATATATAAGCATGTTTAAGTAAAATTATTATTATCAGTATTCTTTATAAATATACTGTAAATTAGAGATATTTCGTATTAGTGAATTTTGGGCCGAATTAAGTTTAATTTAGGCCAAGATTAAATTAATTTTTTTTTTAATGTCCAATTAAATTATTTGGACAATTGGACATTGTCCAAACTGTCCAAATGTCCAATATCGTAACATGCCATCCTTGTTAAAAATCATACGTATTTTATTGTTTTTCTATCAGCAGTTAGATACAGTTATCTGCTCTAATTTATTCTGACCTTTGCAATTGAATATGAAAGCAAAAAAATGCCACACTACATTATAAGTATAGGTAGTCTGAGTTTTTTTCAATTCAATACCTATAACTGTATAATAAGAAATAATTACCTTATATATGTATATTAAAATTTCTAATAGTCAATATAGCATTAAATGAATTAACAAGATTGAAGTTTCTTGAGCAAACATGATTTGATTCCGCAATAAGTTGCATAGACATATTTTCTTTTAATTTTTTATATCGATTCACAAAGTTTTTTATGCTTTTATTTTGAAACTATTCTTTAATTTTAAGAATGTGGTTAAAGTTAAATCTCAAAGATAAGGTATTTCTCTATTAATTGGAGAAAAAATCCTTTTATCGAAATAAATAATGCAAAAAGTGCTAGATATGACCTATGCTCCACGCAAGACTACAAAAAACGTATATGTGAGTATAAATTTATAACTATAAATAGGCATTGAATATCTTCCGCTACATCATTTCGAGAGAGCACACACACATACTCAGGATAGTAACCGGGATTCGGGTCATGATTACACTTTAATGGGCAAGGCTTGGAATCAGACAGGATGGAACAAGTTATCATAGATTACTTTATTGGAAGAAGGGTACAAAGAGCATCCGGTTTTTACTAGTGGAGAACTAGAATTTATATACATGCGCGGGTATCGTTGAAGAACATCATATGATCTATCTCGAAGACATCACACTTCCATGAGACTATTGACCACCGAATGACAATCCATCTAGCTAGTATAATTCTAACTAATCTTTTCAAATTACTGTGATCAGGAGATTTTTTCAATTCCTTGTTTTTTTACAATTGTATAATACTCATTATTATAATAGGTCTTTCAGTTAATTAATACTAATAGCCTGCTTGTTCTTAATGCTCAAAACCATTTTCGGATTCTAAAAATTAAATAATCAAGCACTTATTGAGATACTTTTTTCAAAGATCGAAAACACAGATAATTTTTAATGTTATTTAAAATTCCCGATTCACAGATTCTGTGTGGTGTGTGACGCATGAAATTCCTGATCTGAAATAACAGACATATTAGGAAACCTATACATTCCCATAACGACCATTATTATTGCTCAATCAGATGACTTTATTTAAACAACTGAACAATTTTATTTAACAAAGCTGAAAAACATATGGG